GATGAACGCAACATCATTATTGTTCAAATTTTAGTTCACTTTTTACCCACCTGCCATATAACCATACCTGATTGCGTAAAAAAAAAAAATCTGTACACTAACAGTGTATATAATATTAATCTTATAATTAAATATACTATAAAAGTGGTTCCACTAGTTGCAACTTAGAAAGATTTGAGTATTATGTTAATTGGAAGCTTCAATCCAATATTGGTGCATGTAGAAGCCTAAATTAATCTTTTCTTTTTTAATTAAACGGTGACTCCAAAGTTTACAAGAAAAAAAATAAAAAGGGAAGATTGCTTGAGGATTGAAATTAGGGAGATTATGATTATTTGGCTAATCTTCGTGATTATTTGACTGATGTTTTTAGAAACAACTTCTTTTGCTTTTTGAATATGATTTATCTACACTTGGACCCATAAAAAGAGGTGGCTATAGCTTGAAATTAATCAATTCAGTGTAAGGCCAACCTTTTCTTATATCAGGATAGTGCTTCGATGCTAAAAATTTTAAAAAAAAAAAACTAAAACTAAAAGCTCAGTTGAAATATAGGCCAAGTTTGAGTAAAACTAAGCTTAGTCTACTAAGATTTTATTTATCTAATAATATTAATGTATTCTGAACATTAAGTTTTAATATTAAAGATAACAAGAATCTCATGATTATATTATAGGCCAAGTAACTTACTTTTTTTTTTTTTTTGGTTGACGGAGTGGGTGTTCGGGTCAATCCTTACGGGGTCCGACTAATCCCACTCCGACCCTGGAGGAGAGGCCCCTTCCCCCGAACACGGTAACCCTGAGACTCGATCCCTGGTGAGGGAGCTGGACAAAGACTTCCAAAGAGCTGTCGTGACCAAACGAGCTGCCCAAGAGGGGCCCAAGTAACTTACTTGAATGCAGGAAAGAAAAGAATAGCTTTTGAAATATTCATCTGTTTTCCATCTCGCTATACTTACATGATAATTATTATTAGGAACTGTTCTTTGAGAGGCAAATCAAGCCTTAATTTAAAAAGTAGCATGCTTAAGAATGACATAATTAACAATTTTCTTAATTTGTTAAACAGTATATATAATTTCAAATTGCTAAAATGTATTTTGTCCTCCTTTAATTTCAAATTTGGGCTAATTGCCAAGGTGATATTTAAACAAATTACAACATATTTAGGCAGTCCTTAAAACTATTTACTTGTTTTGTGACAATTGATTTTGGAATGCGCATTATTTTATTGGACTAAATTTTCTGCATGCAACGGCCAATGAGTGATTACACCTAAAACTTTTTCTCCAACTTGCTTGTATTTGAAGTAAACCAAGTGAAACAGGAATCAATAATATTTATTATTAGCTGTCGTTTGGGGAAAGGGAAACTTCTAAAGAAAGTAAAGCTAGCATGGCCAATATGCAAGATGATTTTGCAGCCATGATTAGCAATGCACATCTATGGATCATTTGGCCTTTAGGTATTGAAAAAGGGATCTTCTCTGGCCCTTTAAAAAAAAAAAAAAAAAATTTCTCTGTTCCTCCTGTATCATTTCCTATTCCAAAATCTATTAAATCGTCATATATCATTCATAAACATCTTATTTTAATTCTTTTTCTTATCCCATTAAATTCTAAAACTACTAACAGAATAGAATATAAAAGATCGGGAACTAAAAAAATTAACTAGGAAATAACAAAAAATTAGTTAAGAACTTTTTAGTTAAATTTTATCTTTTTGACAATTAGCGCAAATTATTTAAGAATGATATTTAAAAAAAAACAAAAAGGAGAAAAAAGGATATTTAAGAAAGAGAAATGCATTTAAATCTATTTTGGTCCTTCTGTGGGATGGGCTGAGTCAAAAAAAATTGTCGGTACTATGAGAAAAAAAACCTTGAAGGACAAAAAAAAAATTTATCAATTGACTTTCTATTGGTTTAGGGACTGCATTACCTACTTGTTCAGTCCATGTTTTATAGATTTCTTATATTCTGTGAAAGAGTACAATATCAAAATTTCCTGATTGTCTAACCTAAAGAAAATCTATTCTTGGTTAACAGCTTTCTTTTTTAAGTTAAAAAGATAGGTGAATTGAGTCAATTGACCGTGCGAAGAATTGAAATCACTCTAAAATAAGTTAATTGGCCCCTTTTTTTCTCTAATAATCATCTCATTGTAACTCCAAAATTAACCCCAACAGAAAAAAAAAAAAAAAAAAAACTCTTTCCTAATGATAACAACAGCGAAGGTGATGCGTATGGGTTTGGGTTGGTGCTGTTGAAATTTGAAAAAGTTAAAAAAAAAAAATGCAAGTAGGATTAGTCATCAGCATTGACTAATGTTAGTAGTGATGAATATGGGTTTGAGCTGGTGCTGTTGAAATTCGAGACAGCTAAAAAAGGCGAGTAGGCTTAGGCTGTTAGGCATCAGCATTGACTGGTTCAGTTCAGCCCAGCCCGGTTCACCTGTACTTGGAAAAATTTTAAAGACCATTTCACGTTTCGCCGTGAATTTTTTCATCTTTTATTTTTAAAATATTAATTTTATATTTCTTATAAATTCAAATTAGTAATATTTGGTTCCAATCTAAGTTTTTTACTATTTTTTTCCTGAAAATCACTATGTGATCCACATGCAATCATTTTTTATGTACAAAAAAGTCAGATCTCATCTTTTTAATAGCAAAAATGGATAGGGAATGAGTTTGATCCCACCTTTTTTTTTAAGCAAAAATGATTATAATTTGGGCCAGATCTTATTTTGTTAGGGGCAAAAATTAATATGAATTGGATCATATATTTAATTACAGATGGGATCTAAACTTTTTACTCTTAAAAAAATGATCACGTGTGTGTCACGTGATAAATGCATGATAAAAAAGTGGTCAAAAACTTATATTGAAACCAAATTTTATCGACTGAATTTTATAAAGAATGTAAAATTATTATTTTAAAAGTGAAGAGCAAAAAAAATTTAATTAGTGAAATATGAAGGATGTTTTGAATGATTTTTTCCAAACAATTTACAATTCTTATTTTTTTTATTGACAACAAAAATTAAAGGGCCGGCATTTGTCTCATCCACCATGCGCTTACCAAAGCAAAGGCGGTCAATACTTATCTTTGCTTTGTTGTTCTTGTTCCACGCTTCATGGTTTTGCTTTTTGGGTACTAGTTGTTTCATTTTTTTTCTTTTTGGTTTTTCTCTGCATTGACTGGGTCAACTCAAACTTAAACGTCCGTACTCTTCCCTTGTTTTTGCTGTTAGATCTTAGAGATATGAATAGAGCTGATCAAGGTTCAGGTTTGAATCGGATCTACATTGAAATCGAATTAGTGATTTGTTGAATCAAAATTGAAATCAGATTTTGAAAATCGAACTTGGAACCATAACCATGAAAAAAGGTTCATGTTTAGGAATCGACACTTTAAGAATGATTCAAATCATAGAAAAATATATTTATTACCTAAATTTGTTTGGTCAATTTTGAGTTCAATATTAATAGTCAGCATCCAATACCAGTAGTCCAAATTATAGTTCAACAACCCATTATCCCATCCTATTAGTAGGTCTTGATCCTAATTCAAGGCCAATTCGTTTTGATCAATAATGAGGTATTTTTTCATAAATTTTTTTCTACCTTTATTGTCATTATTTTTAGGATCAATTCTATAATAATAAATATTTAAGCATAACTAAAAGAACCAGGCAGATTTGTAACTAAAAGAAATCAAAATCGTAATCGGAATAAGATTATAATCGAAATTGGACAAGAATCGGAGGTTCACGAGTTGTCAACATAGTTATCTCTATGAACTTATTCAAATTCAACCTTTCAAAAAAAATTAAAATTGTTGATTTTCAAATCGAAACTAGCGATTTTAGAACCGTGATCATGTCTAGATATGACGAGCAATTGTCAGTTTTCATGCCCAAATGTTAAACATCAAAAACCATTTAGAAGGTCATTGTCCGTCGTAAGGGGGAAATTTTTTTTTTTTTGGTTGATCGGCCAACAACTGGGTGATGTTCTGGAGGATTTTGATCCTCTGCCTGTAGGATGGTCCATGGCGCTGAAAGAAATAAAATATGGTACCTCTTTTTTTGGCTTACTAACAAGGAAACAGAAATGTCAGTATCAAAATAAGAGAAAACGTAAAGAAACGGGAAGAAGAAGACACCAAGTCCAGACGGATGTAATCTGTGACGCCCAATTATGCAAGAAAATGTCTGCGTACATGCAAGTGGTCGTCGATTACGATTATTTATTTTTTTATTGAGACGTGTACAAATTATTTTTTTCTTTTTGTAATATAATATGATTAAATTGTTGAACATTTAAAAATGATTATGTCGCACACGCATTCTGGACTTTGAGAGTTTTGACAAGTCATCTTCACTTTATTTATATATTATCCTACTATATCTTAATATAAGAGGAGTCGAGGCTCAATTAAATCTACAGGGATCGATTAGGATTAAACCATCATCATTGAATCAAACGGATGCATAAATTTTTTAGAAAAATCATACATTATAATAATTAATAAAAAATAAAATTTGAACTCCCGACCCGCGTCACGAGTCTTGAAGAGAGTCTTGGAGACAGTTTTGACGGTTGAGGCACGAAATCTTGTGATGTTGTATGGAGTATGAACGTGCCATGCGATGGACCGAAGCACTGTGTTTCGACTCTCAAGCCCGTAAATCTTGGGTGTGGACAAATTTTTAATTGGCAAAGAACTAGAACCTACACAGAAAGATTCCTTGGCAGCAAATGAATGGCCAACTATTTAGCATTTATTCTCCTCCATTCCAAATTTCTGCATCCATACTTCTTTTGCATTTCCAATCCTTGCTGTCCTTTCATGCTACATACTATTCAAATTATCTACTTACTTGCCAGTCAGGTCTGCCTGCCTTCTTTGAAAGTAATGGTAACTTTTATGCAACTTGACTTTCGTTTGATGCCAGTTCAAGAATAGCATAGGCTTGGGAACCCAAAAAGTAAGGTGAAAAGGCAATCAATTTGTGGTGCTGGATGCCTAATGTCAAACCCATTGGAGGGCGGGTTTCCCCACAAATAGTACTGGTCTTCCGTCCTGATCCTACTGCTAACATCATCTCTTACGCGTCGGTTTAAATCTGTATTAATATGTCACCCTGATGGAGGTAGAAAGAGTAGAAATTAGAAGCGAAGGAAAAAGAAAGGCAGGCTAATGGATACTATAACTATAGTCTCTTCTCTTGTATTCTATCTTGTCATCTGGGCATTCATCCATGTGATCACTTCAAATTTGAGGTCCCGGAAATCAGCGGCCAGACTTCCTCCGGGGCCTTATTCATTTCCAATCATCGGTAATCTCCATCAGCTTGGCGAAAAGCCTCACCAATCATTTGCAAAACTGTCCAAAACTTATGGACCTCTGATGTTTCTTAAGCTAGGGAGCAAAGCAACCATACTTGTATCATCTGCAGATGTTGCAAGAGAAGTGCTACAAAGATATGACCAGTTGTTTTCAAGCCGAGCAGCCCCCACTGCTGCTCAAGCACTTGATCACCATAAGATCTCTATGGTCTGGCTGCCAGTTTTGAGCCAGTGGCGGAACATGCGCAAGATGTGTAAAGAGAATATTTTTGCAACACCAAGACTCGACGCTAGCCAAGGCCTTCGTCAAGAAAAGCTGCAAGAATTATGCGAATATTTGCATAAATCTAGTGTTAGCAGGAAAGCTGTGAATGTTGGTGATGCAGCCTTCACAACATCTCTTAACTTGATGTCGAGAACTCTATTTTCTAAAGATTTTGCCAACTATGATTCTAATTCGTCTCAAGAACTCAGGGAGGTGGCATGGGGGGTGATGAAAAATGTTGGCGCTTCTAATCTTTCAGATTACTTTCCAGTCCTACAAAGGATTGATCCCCAAGGCATCATGCGGGACACCAAGTTCTATTTCCAGCGGCTGTTTGATATTTTTGATGACATCATTGATGAACGGCTGCAACTAAGAGGTACATCGGAGGCTAAGCAAAAAGATTTGTTGGAAGCACTCTTGGATCACAGCATAAAGAATGAGTCCGAGTTCAATCGCAATGATCTTAAGCATTTGCTTCTGGTAAGTGTTGGTTAATTTGTCTGCCTAATTTGATCACTTATAATAAGCTAGTTGCTTAATTACTCATTCAAACCTTTTGTCCATGCATCTCAATTTCTTGTCATTTCATTGACCCCTGGAGATGATTCTCTGCATTAGTTTTTCGTAAATAGGAATTTTGCTCCACTTGTACTCCTAATCCTAAGAATACAAATGGAAGTCTCACATTGATGATCATGAAAATTGACCAACCCATGAAGTGCTGAAAATGATATTCTCTAGCTGTAGAATGACTGCTATAAGTGGCTTCTAGGCTGTCAGATTGGCAAAGTGCAGGACAGGAAAATGGAGGTTGGACTTGGAATAGAAATGACTGTCTATTGAAAATTTTTAACTTTCTATGATAAATTTAACTATTGTCACATCGTACATATATACACACACAGATACATACATACATACATGCACGTATGTATACATGTATACATAGATGCATACATTTATATATGTATGTGTGTCTGCATGTATTCATGGGCAAGAAAATTCTTGGCTCAACGTTGATGATCTAACTCTCTGGTTTCTACTAGGATTTATTTGTGGCAGGAATAGACACTACTTCAGCTACTGTGGAGTGGGCAATGACAGAGTTATTACGCAGTCCTGATAGGATTGCAAAAGCTAGAGCAGAGCTCAAGGAAGTCATTGGAGAGAAGGAAGGAGTCCAAGAATCAGATATCTCTCGACTCCCTTACCTGCAAGCAGTGATCAAAGAAACCTTTCGACTTCACCCTCCAGCGCCATTACTTGTTCCTCACAAAGCTGATGAAGATGTAGAAATCAATGGTTTCATAGTGCCAAAAAACATACAAGTACTTGTCAACGTGTGGGCTTCGGGTAGGGATCCGACAATGTGGTCAGATCCTGAGAATTTTGAACCAGAGCGATTTTTAGGCAGTGACATTGATGTGAGAGGCCAGCATTTCGAGCTCATTCCCTTTGGCGCTGGGAGGAGAATATGTCCAGGATTGCCTCTAGCTTATCGGATGGTACACTTGATGCTGGCTTCTTTCATTCACAACATTGACTGGAAACTGGAAGATGGAATGAAACCAGAAGATTTAGACATGGAAGAAAAATTTGGGTTGACAATTCAGAAGGCCTTGCCTCTAAAGGCTATTCCTGTTAAGCTGTGACTTCGGTCTGATGATTTTTAGGTCCAATCATTCCCTGTGAGCAGAGAAAGCATCATTCCTTGTTATTTTTTATCGCAATTGACATATGTTGACTTCATCTGGCATATCAAATTTGCAAGAACGTTAGCACAAAAAATCACGCAGTGAAAATAACCAACAACTCATCAAGATATAACAATCAAAGATTAAAGTTGCTTAAAGAATTACTATTTCCTAATTTCTAACCCAATACGAGAACTTAATAAACAAATTCTGAATTACTATAAGCTTGATTTAAATTTTGTCAACATAGAATACGAATGTTTCATTTCCCAGGATCCACTTTTTTTTTTGTATGTGTGAAGAAATTAAAATCCAAAACATTTTACTGAGACACGAAGAAGTAGTAGATATGTATACGAGGTCAAACCATTGCCTATGAAGCTAGCCTGTAAAAATTTTTGAGATTGGTGGCAGATTTTTGGCATACAAAGCGTTCCCAGATTCCTCTTATCAGTTCTGAGATATCCATTTGAAATAATACTAGACTTGTTATTGGAACTGAGATGTTGTAAAGACTTTTTCCCCCAAAATCTTTTCCTGAGAATATATTTTTTTTTTTGAAACTGGAAAAATGCAAGAAAACCGGGTTTCAGTTAATTTTTTTCATTATCAATTCAAAGGAAAATTTCCCAAAACAAAAAAAGAAAAGAAAAGAAATAGGTAGAAAGACAATGGCTAGATATATAAAAGTAGAGTAAATTCACTGCATTACCAGATGCCTGAATGTGATCTTTGGTTGTTTACATTTTCTTCTTCCTAATTTCATAATATGCTGTGTGCTACTAAAGTATACAAATCGTTAACCTTAACCAAATCATAATTCTTGAATAAGATGTATAGTGCAATTCACCTCATGCAGCAGTTACTCTTGCCCTTCTTGATTTGTGACTTGAATCCAAATCGATTATGCACCACAGCCTACGCTAAGTCAGTCCAAGCAGTTTCCTGCAACGCCAAAACACCAAATACAGAGTCCACAGCCGCAACTAGCAGCCACTCGAACACGGTGAATTTCGTTTGTGTGTATCAATTTAGTGAAAATACACCAAATTTTGTAAAAATCACAGATGGCAACGAGTAAGGTACCTATCTAAACTACTCATACCCAATCCATTACCTGTTGGACTTATAAATTTGTCTAACAAACGTACATACTGAACTCGGGATCAGGTCAAATTCGGGTATTGACGAGTTATTTGTTACCGGTCGAGCCACTGAAGTCTGAAATTTAATCTAACAAACAGATATGTTTTTGCTTAAGACAGTCTCAATCAAGAGTCTCACGAGTGTTATGTCATACAAATATATATTTCTTATTCATAGATTTCAATTTCTAAGAAGGCCTCTAATATCATTGATGTTAAACTAGTATACAAGAAATCCAAGTGTGGGAGTTTGAGCTTTCGTGCAGCTGCAGCCAAATAACAACTTACAATTGATGAAATTAAAAAGCTTCAAATTGATTCAGTAGCGGAAGCATAGATGTTGGATTTGTTTCACGAACGAAATCCATAGAAGAATAAAGGGTCAAATTAGGTTCAAACCTCAGAACACGAATCAAAGATGATAACAAGAGAAAGCTCTCAACAATTGGTGCAATGAAAGTTTCATTGATATTTTATAAAAAAACAATTAATTACAAAAGTCCTAACTACATCTATTTATAAGTCACAATGAGTCGTACTCTAAAAAAGGAAATAAAATATACATAAAACCCTAAACAATCAAAATTACGTTATCTAGCTAAGATGATGTCTGTCAATATTTGGCTCTATGTCAGACTCAACGATTACCACCTATCTTAGTGGTGACTATACAAACTATACAAGAACCAGAATATGACGGACCTTATGATAGGTTCTATATTGGGTGCCCGATTCTACTTGACTCAACTTCATTCATGACCTTTTCTCTTCTATCACATAATTACAACCCTTATTCATAAAATTAATAAGAAAACTAATAAAGATAATACTAAAACTGCTACTTAAAATACTACAATTACCTAATTATTCAACCTAATCTAACTTTCTTAGCCGCGCTTTTGATACAGAATGATGGATTGAAGAACCAAGGTTCCTCGAACCGTATCACAAATTGATTTAAGTAAATTGTTATTAAATAAACTATTTCATGTGTATTTGCGTGGGATTTGAGTATTTGGTATCTCTTAACCACGGCTTTTAGATTTTATCTTATATATTACCATCCCTAATAAGAATTGTACCAAGCTGACAAGACAAAATTAGACATGCCAGTAACCAAGCGGGCTGATTTGCCAGGTGGTTGTTTAAATGGCTATTGTCAATAGTTTTTGTTGGTAATCTAGACATCATTGACTTAATACTATGCATGATATCACACAGATGACATGGTGTTTATCAAAAAGGAAATCATCATTGGCAGGGTTAATTTCAACAAAGGGATAATTTTAGGAACCTCCTTTAAGGTTTCTCAAAATATCATTTAGCACCCCTAAAGTCTTGAAAATCTTATCTACTTCCCTTGGAATGACAATTTATGCAACAATGAGTGTGTTTGGTTGGTGGCTATTAGGGGTGAGCAAATTCGGTTCTTACCGAATTCATAACCGATTTCAAATTCAATTCGGTAATTTGAAATCGGATATTTGGTAATTTGGTACAAATTCGGTACGTACCAAATTCACCGAATTCTAATATGGTATGAAATAGGTAATGAGATTATGAATTAGGTAATAACCGATTGCGCATTCAAATTCGGTAATTGAAATCGGGTACCGCATTACCGCATTCGAATTACCAAATTGGTATATAAAATTATATAATATATAGATAAATGCTATTTAGTATTAGTATATACTACTAATACTTTATTATATTATATAGGTAAATGTTATTAATAATAATTAGTATATGGTATTATCAATTTATCATCATATCATGTACTTATAATAATAATAATATATAATAATGTACAATATATTATTTTAGTATTTGTTAATTGTTATATGACTATAATAATACCAATATATAGTAATACATAACAATATAAGATAACTATAATACTTATTATTTTATACATGAGTAACATGACTAGAATTAGATAATAATTAACACATATATGTATAATACTAAATATTAAACAATTAACATAATTAGTAATTAAATTTAGATATTGGTAATTTGATACATCATTCATGTTTGAATTATTGAATATTTGAATGCGTAATCTCTAACTTGCAAGTATTAGTGTACTCTACATATTTAATATAAAAATTCATATTATCTATTCACTAATCTTAATTCTTAAGACTTTAAGTATAGATAAGACAACTAAGTAGTTAGCAGTGTAAGTGAATGCATATGAATTGCAAATCAATGTACTAGTGTATTGACTTTCACAATAATATAAGTAAATAAGTTTTATTTTGATTTGAAATAAATTATAAGTTTGTAAGTAATATAACTTATCACTACTCATTGTAATTTGTAAGTTTGTAACTAATATTACTTATTATTAATCATTGTAAATTATAAATTCATAAATTATCACTAATCATTGTACAGTCTAAGGTTTATTCCAGTTTAAATTAATCACTTTTTATGTGTTCCTTAAATCATAGACTAATGATTTTAGGCATAAGTTATCAAATAAGTTAAAATTCATATTATCTATTTACTAATCTTAAGGCTTTAAGTATAAACAAGACAACTAAGCAGTGTAAGACTGTAAGTGAATGTATGTGAATTGCAAATCAATGTATTAGTGTATTGACTTTCACAATAACATGTGTAAGTAAATAAGTTTTTATTTTGATTTGAAATAAATTATAAGTTTGTAACTAATATAACTTATCACTAATCATTGTAATTTGTAAGTTTGTAACTAATATTACTTATTATTAATTAGTGTAAATTATAAATTCATTGTAACTACTAACTAATATTGCTTATAATTAATCATTGTAAATTATAAATTCATAAATTATCACCAATCATTGTATAGTCTAAGGTTTATTCTAGTTTAAATTAATCACTTTTTATGTGTTTCTTAAATCATAGACTAAGGATTCTAGGTATAAGTGATCAAATAAATGCCAATTAAACCACAAAATGATTAGAACATAAGTAATGTGTTCAATTATGAATAAATTTAGGGATCAAATCAGTAATAATTTATAAATCATAAATGAATTCGGTTTAACCGAATTCATTACCGTTTTCGAATTTGAAATCGGTTGCGGAATGAATTCGGTTATGCCCAATTCGGAATTGAAAACGGTTTAAATTTTTACAGGTAGAATAACCGAATTCACCGAATTCAGTGCACCGAATTACCGAATTTGCACCGAATGCACACCCCTAGTGGCTATTCAGGAAAAAAAAAAAATAGAATAACATTGTGGCACTTGTGGTGATTTGATATTTTGATGTATATGAGATTTAAGAAAACAAGTATATGAGGTAAAAAGAATTAGAAAGATAAAAAAGTGATTAAAAATGTGTTTTTTTTTTTACCCTCACATCCACTTCACATTCTTTCCATCTCCAATTGGAAAATGTATTTGTGTTGCAATAAACTCAAATTCTTTTACAAATAATTTCGTATCCAAACAAACCCAATATGAGCCCTTTTTGGTAAAAATAAGATTAAAAAAATGCATCCGAGGAGAAATTATATTATCTATTCATTACTACCCTTATGCCATGCCATTCATGAATTTTATAACTGAAATAAAAAAAAATTAATAAATGTTGGAAAGCTAAGTGTTGACAATTAACAAGATTGCACCAATAAGGCAACTCGAAGATCATTATTGCAATAGTCACTTCTGCAGCTGCAACAACAACAACATAAAAATACTAGAATATGAAGCCAAAAACTTAGCAACAAGTGGGGAAAAGGAAGAGCACCTAAGAAAAAGATTGATAGCACAATATGGCAAATCATGCACGAACATCGTTCAACATATGGAATTGATATTGTCAATGGACCCACAAGATGGCAATTATAATTTTTAAAACTGATAGGAATCTAAATATTTTGTATTTTTTTAGCAGTGCAATATACAATTTTTTTCAAATCCGTCTTTAACCTGAAATATGCACCCAA